CACTAATCTATAGATTTAATCACATTTGAAGATACATCTGTGTGTTTAAAGTTGATTTTGACCGCCCGGGCCAAGTCGGACCCAACACAAGCCAAACACTTCTGATAGAGACTATGTTGAGAATGTAGAGGGAAAAGGGCTTCACTTTCGAGCCCCTTGTTGTCTATAAATACTGCAATCTGTGACATTATAAAGTGATGTATAGGTAGATATAACACTAATCTATAGATTTAGTCACATTTGAAGATACATGTGTCTATTTAAAGTTGATTTTGACCGCCCGGGCCAAGTCGGACCCAACACAAGCCAAACACTTCTGATAGAGACTATGTTGAGAATGTAGAGGGAAAAGGGCTTCACTTTCGAGCCCCTTGTTGTCTATAAATACTGCAATCTGTGACATTATAAAGTGGTGTATAGGTAGATATAATACTAATCTATAGATGTGAATCCATTTGATGATACATCTGTGAGGTTTAAGTTGATTTTAACAGCCCGGGCCAGGTCGGACCGAACATTTCTGACTTGGATTTTTTAAAGAAAATACAGTAAAAATGCTTCACTTTAAGGGCGCAGATTTCTTTAAATGCGATACACCTGGACATTATAAATTGGTGTATAGGTAGATATAACACTAATCTATAGATTTAATCACATTTGAAGATACATCTGTGTGTTTAAAGTTGATTTTGACCGCCCGGGCCAAGTCGGACCCAACACAAGCCAAACACTTCTGATAGAGACTATGTTGAGAATGTAGAGGGAAAAGGGCTTCACTTTCGAGCCCCTTGTTGTCTATAAATACTGCAATCTGTGACATTATAAAGTGATGTATAGGTAGATATAACACTAATCTATAGATTTAGTCACATTTGAAGATACATGTGTCTATTTAAAGTTGATTTTGACCGCCCGGGCCAAGTCGGACCCAACACAAGCCAAACACTTCTGATAGAGACTATGTTGAGAATGTAGAGGGAAAAGGGCTTCACTTTCGAGCCCCTTGTTGTCTATAAATACTGCAATCTGTGACATTATAAAGTGGTGTATAGGTAGATATAATACTAATCTATAGATGTGAATCCATTTGATGATACATCTGTGAGGTTTAAGTTGATTTTAACAGCCCGGGCCAGGTCGGACCGAACATTTCTGACTTGGATTTTTTAAAGAAAATAAAGTAAAAATGCTTCACTTTAAGGGCGCAGATTTCTTTAAATGCGACACACCTGGACATTATAAATTGGTGTATAGGTAGATATAACACTAATCTATAGATTTAATCACATTTGAAGATACATCTGTGTGTTTAAAGTTGATTTTGACCGCCCGGGCCAAGTCGGACCCAACACAAGCCAAACACTTCTGATAGAGACTATGTTGAGAATGTAGAGGGAAAAGGGCTTCACTTTCGAGCCCCTTGTTGTCTATAAATACTGCAATCTGTGACATTATAAAGTGGTGTATAGGTAGATATAATACTAATCTATAGATGTGAATCCATTTGATGATACATCTGTGAGGTTTAAGTTGATTTTAACAGCCCGGGCCAGGTCGGACCGAACATTTCTGACTTGGATTTTTTAAAGAAAATACAGTAAAAATGCTTCACTTTAAGGGCGCAGATTTCTTTAAATGCGATACACCTGGACATTATAAATTGGTGTATAGGTAGATATAACACTAATCTATAGATTTAATCACATTTGAAGATACATCTGTGTGTTTAAAGTTGATTTTGACCGCCCGGGCCAAGTCGGACCCAACACAAGCCAAACACTTCTGATAGAGACTATGTTGAGAATGTAGAGGGAAAAGGGCTTCACTTTCGAGCCCCTTGTTGTCTATAAATACTGCAATCTGTGACATTATAAAGTGATGTATAGGTAGATATAACACTAATCTATAGATTTAGTCACATTTGAAGATACATGTGTCTATTTAAAGTTGATTTTGACCGCCCGGGCCAAGTCGGACCCAACACAAGCCAAACACTTCTGATAGAGACTATGTTGAGAATGTAGAGGGAAAAGGGCTTCACTTTCGAGCCCCTTGTTGTCTATAAATACTGCAATCTGTGACATTATAAAGTGGTGTATAGGTAGATATAATACTAATCTATAGATGTGAATCCATTTGATGATACATCTGTGAGGTTTAAGTTGATTTTAACAGCCCGGGCCAGGTCGGACCGAACATTTCTGACTTGGATTTTTTAAAGAAAATACAGTAAAAATGCTTCACTTTAAGGGCGCAGATTTCTTTAAATGCGATACACCTGGACATTATAAATTGGTGTATAGGTAGATATAACACTAATCTATAGATTTAATCACATTTGAAGATACATCTGTGTGTTTAAAGTTGATTTTGACCGCCCGGGCCAAGTCGGACCCAACACAAGCCAAACACTTCTGATAGAGACTATGTTGAGAATGTAGAGGGAAAAGGGCTTCACTTTCGAGCCCCTTGTTGTCTATAAATACTGCAATCTGTGACATTATAAAGTGATGTATAGGTAGATATAACACTAATCTATAGATTTAGTCACATTTGAAGATACATGTGTCTATTTAAAGTTGATTTTGACCGCCCGGGCCAAGTCGGACCCAACACAAGCCAAACACTTCTGATAGAGACTATGTTGAGAATGTAGAGGGAAAAGGGCTTCACTTTCGAGCCCCTTGTTGTCTATAAATACTGCAATCTGTGACATTATAAAGTGGTGTATAGGTAGATATAATACTAATCTATAGATGTGAATCCATTTGATGATACATCTGTGAGGTTTAAGTTGATTTTAACAGCCCGGGCCAGGTCGGACCGAACATTTCTGACTTGGATTTTTTAAAGAAAATACAGTAAATATGCTTCACTTTAAGGGCGCAGATTTCTTTAAATGCGATACACCTGGACATTATAAATTGGTGTATAGGTAGATATAACACTAATCTATAGATTTAATCACATTTGAAGATACATCTGTGTGTTTAAAGTTGATTTTGACCGCCCGGGCCAAGTCGGACCCAACACAAGCCAAACACTTCTGATAGAGACTATGTTGAGAATGTAGAGGGAAAAGGGCTTCACTTTCGAGCCCCTTGTTGTCTATAAATACTGCAATCTGTGACATTATAAATTGGTGTATAGGTAGATATAATACTAATCTATAGATGTGAATCCATTTGATGATACATCTGTGAGGTTTAAGTTGATTTTAACAGCCCGGGCCAGGTCGGACCGAACATTTCTGACTTGGATTTTTTAAAGAAAATACAGTAAAAATGCTTCACTATAAGGGCGCAGATTTCTTTAAATGCGATACACCTGGACATTATAAATTGGTGTATAGGTAGATATAACACTAATCTATAGATTAAGTCACATTTGAAGATACATCTGTGTGTTTAAAGTTGATTTTGACCGCCCGGGCCAAGTCGGACCCAACACAAGCCAAACACTTCTGATAGAGACTATGTTGAGAATGTAGAGGGAAAAGGGCTTCACTTTAAGCCCCATGTCTTCTATAAATACTGCGATCTGTGACATTATAAATTGATGTATAGGTAGATATAACACTAATCTATAGATTTAATCACATTTGAAGATACATCTGTGTGTTTAAAGTTGATTTTGACCGCCCGGGCCAGGTCGGACCCAACACAAGCCAAACACTTCTGATAGAGACTATGTTGAGAATGTAGAGGGGAAAAGGGCTTCACTTTAAGCCCCATGTCTTCTATAAATACTGCGATCTGTGACATTATAAATTGGTGTATAGGTAGATATAACACTAATCTATAGATTTAGTCACATTTGAAGATACATCTGTGTGTTTAAAGTTGATTTTGACCGCCCGGGCCAAGTCGGACCCAACACAAGCCAAACACTTCTGATAGAGACTATGTTGAGAATGTAGAGGGAAAAGGGCTTCACTTTCGAGCCCCTTGTTGTCTATAAATACTGCAATCTGTGACATTATAAAGTGGTGTATAGGTAGATATAATACTAATCTATAGATGTGAATCCATTTGATGATACATCTGTGAGGTTTAAGTTGATTTTAACAGCCCGGGCCAGGTCGGACCGAACATTTCTGACTTGGATTTTTTAAAGAAAATACAGTAAAAATGCTTCACTTTAAGGGCGCAGATTTCTTTAAATGCGATACACCTGGACATTATAAATTGGTGTATAGGTAGATATAACACTAATCTATAGATTTAATCACATTTGAAGTTACATCTGTGTGTTTAAAGTTGATTTTGACCGCCCGGGCCAAGTCGGACCCAACACAAGCCAAACACTTCTGATAGAGACTATGTTGAGAATGTAGAGGGAAAAGGGCTTCACTTTGAGTTCTGTGTTTTCTTTAACTACTGAAATATGAGACAATAAAGTGGTAAATAATTAGATAAAATACTAGTGTTCAAATATAAATAATGTTAGGAACTTTAGAAGTGCTTGGACAGTTATTAACACGTGTCGTGTCAGTCTTTTGACATTCGAGAATATCCATTTCCAGAAAACATCCTGTGTTGGTTTAACACGAATTAGTAAAGGTTAATTACCTAAACACGTTAATTAATGAAAGAAGAGTAGTCAAAACACTGTCGTTTCCTGCCCAGGACATCACACCCCTACACGCTAAGGTCGGTGAGAAGCATTCTAATCAAAGAATACACAGTCAAGACGCTGACTTTTCTACGAGACTCACGGTATGTAGTCATAATCATCAGTTAACTACATTGTTGAAGGTGCATTTTTATTCAAACTCAATTAAATGAGCAAAACTATACGTTTGTGGACATTTGAGATCTGCCTAGATATGCGCGTTTCGTTTTATTATTCTGCAATCCATTTTTAGTATTACCCGCTGGCCCGGCCCGGCCCGACTTTTCTTGGCCCGACTTTTAGGCAATCCCTAGAAGGTTGGCGTGTAGAAACGAACTCCACGCATAGCTGGAACGAAGTTTGAACTGTAAGGAGCTTACAACACGTTCCCCACCTTCATCGAGAGGTAAACATGTCTGCCAATTCTTGTGAGGTCGATTTCAGCAGGCTAAAATTGTTGATCATGCCACAACGAATTCAAAAACGTCGCCTGGAAACAATAAAAATAGCAGCAAAGAAGAGAGGCGTGCAAACTGTGAGCGAATTAAGGTATGACATTGACGATACTAATGATGATAAAACGAGACGAGTGTTGACAGGACAGTTGCATTGCAACTGCAAGTTGGATTAGCGTATGGACTTGGGTAGAAATTATGCCAGTTGATATAGCAAATACACTCGTTCTCACTAGATACTATTTATAGGTTATCCTTATTTTATCAACATACTTTATCAATATATTATCGTCGTTTTACACACTTCTGTGTCACAAAACCAGGAAGTGATGTTTACTGTTGTCATCCTAGCAGACGATTGTTTTCACATTTCAACATACTGGGTCAGATCAGAGACCATGTGGTCTCTGCTAAGATTCACGCCGTTCACTTGGTTTACATCCACACATTCAAGTCACATCCTCTACTGAACATTCATACTTAATGGAAGTGTCATTTCTGCTCTTCTACTTAAAGGGGCACTGATCTAACGCAATTCCCCGGGACTGGTTGTTGCCTTTGTTATTGTTTTTTCCCAGTGAGTACCCGGATGTATAGCAGAAATCTAGACTAGTTCGCGACCTCTGCTGCGCCATTCGTAAGCGCATTAGTCACTTTTATGAGTAGTAATAAGGGCGTATGGTCACATTGATCAACAAAATGAAATACAGTTTTCGAGATAATAAAGAAATGTAGGTATCTTTGTGAGTAGCATCGGTAATGGTGACGAAGTTTTGATAAGTCACTTGCTTGGTAATTTTGCGATATATATTTCACCTGAGCATATGCTTTTTTATAGTGTGTATATTTTTTTACTGTCAAATGTGTAACACATTTATTAAACGTCTAAATATTCAGTTATTTTATAAAGTGACTGAAAAACATTTCCATCTGTATTATTATGACAACGAATTCCAAACATTTTGATGTTTAATGTCATCACCAAGAGACTGAAAATGTAACGTTGAAAAGTACATTTCTAAGTTGTTTGGCTTTTAATCCTACATAATAATCTGTTGTGATGTGTGTAGGCCCTTTTGATCGTCTTGATCAATCTGGACAGATTTTTTAGTCAAAATGACTGAAATATTTACACATTTTATAAATTGCCTGAGAGAATCACATTTTACAAATTGACGGTAATATATACACGCTTACAAAGGAAAAGACCTGTAACAACAACGACTATCACGCATTGAAGAATTTCCCAACCAAGACGTAGAGAAACAAGAACGAATCGGTTCAAATGAAGGTCTGGAAAACAAAATGCAGATATCATAATTACAACCTACCAAATTAATGTGTATAAGTTTTAGGCAGCTTCCTTGTTCGAGGAATGTATCCGTGAATATCCACAAAAAGGAACAATATCCCACTCGTCTGCAGCTGTACAAAGAAACTTATTCGATGTCACGTGTCTCAGTAACAATCAAATATTTAAAAAGATATATATCGTTTCGGGATATTATAACCCGTGTTCGTTTCTCAACTGATCGCTTGGATTGTTTCAGGTGTTTTACATAGGTGTCAAGTCTCAATGGTCGGCTGAGAAAGCCCACGTGACAACTATTTTCATAGCGTCCACGGTTCCTAAAAATTCCATTGAGTGATAGATAACAATGATCAATCAATCAACATATTATCAGTTAACCCTTTGAACAAAGTATGTTGTTTTTACATCGGCACTTCGCGCCATGATATGAGTGTATTCCCTTTGTTTTAGTAAACCTAGACATGTAAACACTCACTCTTGACATATCCACTGTGCAAGATAACAGTGATTAATCAATCAACGTATTTTCTGTTAATCCTTTGATGACTAGGAACGATCCGTTGATTTACAAAAAAAAGTAAATCAACTGATCATTCATCTTTTGCTGGACTGCCACGTGCATATTACATAACACACATTTCACCTCACTTCAAACCTGGATTTAGATTGAATAATTACCCCAGACACAATAAATGCCAAATGGGAACCTTTGTCAGGTAATATAAGTGGTGCTACCACTAATTGTACCTGTAATAAATTCATTAACTGAGCATCAAGTGAATGACGACAAATACACAAGTGTAGGGTTATACGAGAAAACGTGGATGACAACAAGGGAGTAGTAATCGTATTATCGACGCAAGCCGAAATCCGAAAATGCTTTCACTGCATGGATACTGTTTTTAGTATTAAACTATAACCATCTGGGGTATTTCCAAATGACGACATCCGATGAGCTCCCTTGTTCTTTTTGTCTGTTTGTTTAGGCTGAAGAAATGAATTAACATGCGCCCTTTGTCGAAATCTTTATAGATCACAGTTAACCAATCAGTGTTCAAAAATGCGTAAAACAAATATTGCCTCCAGCCTCCAAGTTTATTTAGCTGTCCTTGCAGACGGTACCCCAGTCTCTGGTCACGCTCAGTTGCGTTGCGTATCATCCGGGTACTCACGGGGGAAAAACAATAACAAAGGCAACAACCAGTCCGTTAGATCAGTGCCCCTTTAACTCTGGAACTGTCGCTATGGTGACATACTGGTACCTTGTTACACATGTATTTGGATAACCATGGCTGTAAGATTGACCCATCGCTTCAGCGACAAAAACAAACTTCTTGACAGTGACATCATCGGATACCTAAAAAATTAGACAAATGATATGTATTGAATGACTTGGATCCAACTTGCTGGATTGACTGGCAATTTGCCACATATCAGTAGTCATTTAAGGTGTATTTGTCATTTGTCATTCATTCAAACTACACCATGTACATAAGACACCCACAGTATTGTCTTTGAAAGTTTCACAGTGAAAACCTGCATTGACTGGAAAAAACTAAGAACTGACTTATGTGATTATGTTTTTCTTTGAAAGCACTGAGGTGACCCATATCGTGACTGAGTTTGAGACAGTGGAGCAAGTTGTCAGAGCACTGAAGAAGGACAACGTTGCGACACTTGGTGATGTGGAAATTGTTTCCCTAACATGGCTCACGGAGTGCTTCAAGGCAGGGAAAGTCAACGTAGCCACAGAAGCCTACAGGCTCAAGCATGAGACATTGGTAATGACAATCATCACAATGTCTCAGACACACATTAGATATTCATGTAAAAATCCATATGCTTGCATTGCATTATTCAATATTAGCTAAATGCATGCAGAGTTCTTTTATTTATGTTTTTTTATTTATGCTTTTGACGTGTTGTATATTTGGAAGACCTACTTGATAAGCAGAATCTCAAGTCACCATCAACCTTAGTAGAACCATGTCATGATGCCCCTATATGTGTTTTTATTGTGAAATTGGCTGAGAAATTGGCTATATTGCTGTGTGTAAATATATATATATATATATATATATATATATATATATATATATATATATATATATTACAGACGTACATTACAATTCTGATTCTGTTGAGATGACATATATGAGACTGCTTCTCTGTTTCATATGAGAAATCTGCATCACTTCAGGCTTTCCTCCCACATTAAGCTGACACGCCGTGATATAACTGGAATACTGTTAAAAGCGGCGTTAAACCCAACTCATTCACTCACTCATATGAGAAATGACACTGTTTCACATGAGAGTGAATGAAAGAGTGAATTGGGCTTAACACCGCTTTGAACAATATTCCAGTTATATCAGTTGATGTGGGAGGAAAGCCCGAAGGGATGCAGGTCAGAGACGTTTACCACTTCAATGATTCCAACGTACATGGGTGTGGTGCTGCCAAACCTAGCAACATAATCATGTTAACCGGCTTTCGAACCCACAATCATAGGTTTCTGGCGTGCCCAAGGGACGCAAGTCTGCATAACAAATTGCAGCGCTATAGACAACTAGGCCACCAGGCCCATGTTTCATATGAAAAATGCTAATATGTTTCATATAAGAAGTGCCAATGTATTTTGTAGGAATCCGCCGATAATGGTAATGAGCCTGAAGGGAACACCAGTTTACTTCCAGAGTGGGCGTGTCAGAGGGACACACCTCTAGAACACCACAACCATCATTTAACTGTGAGCATAAACATTCAAACTGTTCTAACAAATTTGAGGGGATAAGGTTCATAATTACACAATGTCAATATATTACTTTATCATATAATGGGTAGGTTTCTCGGCAGGATAAAGCCAATGGATAAAAACGATATCCGTTGGGGTCATATGCGGATAGAGATGCAAATATCAAAGGTCAAGTAGGGACTACTTTCACTGTTCATAAGCAATCATGGCGTCGCCCTCGTCATTCGGCGATCGAGTCAGAATTAACCATCGGGAATCTGGATAAACTACAGGGATAACTGCTATCATTATCAAAAGCACAGTCTAATACATTGTATACTGAAAATCAGTGTCTAACTGTGACGTAGATAAGGCATTTTATAAGTTTGGGCAACTTTGGAGATATAAATTTCGGGATCAGTAGCCATATCTGTGCTTGTAGATCTCTGCGGCTTGAAACCTTCTCCACACAAAAAAATAGTTGGATTTAGCCGAAATATATTTGAATTGTTACCTTGTTTCGTTTTGTCGCTGTGTGTACATCTGACTACACTTCTTAACGTTATGACAGGACAGACCGACTGTCAACAACGTCTGACCGTGGCCGTGACGTCTCATAGACTAGGGTTAGAGTAGCTTCCCTTTGACAAAGGGCAGTTACTCTAGCGGACAGACCGATGGATTGCCGTGAAAGGCAATTAAAAACAATTGTTGTTTTGCGTTTATGTTGCTTCGCCACTGCATAAGAAATAGATTTCAGTTGGAACTATATTGGCTACTGTCACTGTCCGACTGACACATCACTTACCCTCTGACGTAATAAATATTAATGCGCGCATTCCAGGAAAACTCGCAATGTTTCGGTAATGTTTGTGAGAGAGGGAAAGCGATTTTGAAGTACAGAATTAAAGAATGACATTATATGATAAAGAGGTTATCACGCTTGTGTGTTTGGGGGTGGTAAATATCCTGTATTAGGAATAAACACTATGTATTTAGCTCGCCAAGGCTCGCTAAATACAATGTTTATTCCTCATGCAGGATATTTACCATCCCCAAACACACACGCGTGATAACCTCTTTTTATGTCAACTGGAAGTAAATATTTTTATTGATCCAATACGCAATTATGCCTAATATGAGTGTCAAAGTCTCAACATGGTTTCCAGTATTTTAGGGCCATATCTTAAACACGCAACAAACATTTTTTGTGCCCTTGAACGCAACTACCAGGTGTGAGAAACCCATGCTCATGCACATAAAAGTCTAGGTTGTCCCCTCTACCTCCCCTTCCAAGACTTGGCAGATTGTATCAACTTCTTTGGTGGGCTGCCACGGTGACAATGAGTGAAAAAAAGTATGAGCAAGTCTGTGACCCAAGATTAATTTTGTCCATATGTGTATAATGTTTCTGTGTACATCTTATAAATAAAGGTTTTTATAGCATTAATTTTCAAAATAAATTGTCTTTTTTAGAATAACAGTAAATTACATTTTATGTTGATTAATGTCAAGAACCTTTTTTCTGATATCAGAACAAAAAACCCATTATCTGCCTGTGACTTTAGCCACTAGTCTGAAGCCCAAGTCTAGTAAAAGTCTGTTTGGTCTAGTAAGCTAAGCTAATAAAAGTCCAAATAATAAGGCTAAAATCGACCGTAAATAATTTTAAGAGCCATGTTCGGACCAGCAGACTCAAAAGTGTTTGGTACTGACTGCATTATGTCTGCATCACGCTGGTATCTGACAACATGGTGGGTGTTTTAGGCTGGTATCGAGACACTACAGCTTTACTCTGAGTTACGAGATCTGGACCAGGACTACAGTCGGGCATTGGCATTCCGCAGGGCATCGTGTGTGCTCAAGTGTCTGCCCTTCAAAGTGACAGACGTCTCCCAGATAAGCAACATCAAGGATGTCGGGGATCATGTCAAGAGAGTTGTAAAGGTAGGCTGACGTCTGATGTCGATTATTGAAGTCTTTACCATTTACTAAGTCATTGTAGTCTGTAACAGTGTAATTAAGAGAGAGTTGTACTTACTTACTTTGGAGATTTAACATGCGCTTTCCGACTGATGCGTATTTCGCACACGGAGAAAGTTGTTTTATATAATAGAAGTTATATCTTTTGCATCAATCTTTCAAGCAAGTGAACATAATTTACATGAACTCTGTCTGTTGCCCAAATTATCATGTGACTTTTCAATTTTAATTTTTAAATTCCTTTAGGACCAAACAAAAACAAATCTTGTTTTTATGAAGTAATCCTTTAGTTAAATTAACCTGAATTTTTTTCACCTGCATACAAACAAAAATATCTTTAACAGAAGAAAACATAATTGACATAGCAACAAATATTTCAGGTAAAGTTTCGTTATGCATTATGTATGTAACACTGCATCTTTCATGGCCTTGAACAAAACAATGTGACCTATATCCTGTGCATGTAAACTGAGGGAATTGGAAAGTCCAGTTTAGAAGTCAGCTGTGTGTAACCTTTGCTTAATTAAACAGTTTGTGTTCCATCTTGCAGGACATCCTAGAAGATGGATCTTCTGCAGAGGTTGATCAAATTAATAATGGTGAATGGTTTAACAAGATGAAGGTATTAAAACTCTTCTCTCCAGCAGCACAGTTGTAACTGCAGATCCGATTAGTGATATTGGCGAACCCCTGGTGTCATGACTGTTTCCGACCACTGGCGTGGAGTCATCCCACACACATCCTTACCTTGTCATTGCCGAAGGGCGGGAGTATCCCACAGATGACATCCTTACCTTGGAGTCATCCAACAGATGACATCCTTACCTTGGAGTCATCCCACACACATCCTTACCTTGTCAGTGTAGCAGGGCGTCGAGTCATCCCACAGATGACATCCTTACCTTGTCAGTGTAGCAGGGCGTGAAGTCATCCCACAGACATCCTTACCTTGTCAGTGTAGCAGGGCGTGGAGTCGTCCTACAGATGACATCCTTACCTTGTCAGTGTAGCAGGGCGTCGAGTCAACCCACAGATGACATCCTTACCTTGTCAGTGTAGCAGGGCGTGAAGTCATCCCACAGACATCCTTACCTTGTCAGTGTAGCAGGGCGTGGAGTCGTCCTACAGATGACATCCTTACCTTGTCAGTGTAGCAGGGCGTGAAGTCATCACACAGACATCCTTACCTTGTCAGTGTAGCAGGGCGTGGAGTCATCCCACAGACATCCTTACCTTGTCAGTGTAGCAGGGCGTGAAGTCATCACACAGACATCCTTACCTTGTCAGTGTAGCAGGGCGTGGAGTCGTCCTACAGATGACATCCTTACCTTGTCAGTGTAGCAGGGCGTGGAGTAATCCCACAGATCACATCCTTACCTTGTCATTGTCGCAGGGCGTCGGATCATCCCACACACATCCTTACCTTGTCAGTGTAGCAGGGCGTGGAGTCATCCCACAGATGACATCTTTACCTTGTCAGTATGGGTGGGTGTGGAGTCATCCCACAGACGACAGCTTTACCTTGTTTTACAACTGGCTTAACCTCATGGACAAGCATGTCTGACCTTGGTTGGAAGGTCTGTTGTTCAGATCTCATCATGGAACTTGGAAATTTTATGATTACTACATGTTCAACCCCTGGATCAAGTATTGGTTGATTATTTCAGACATGTGGTTGATGTCCAGGGGGAACAGTTGTTGCAGAAAGGCCACCCTGTTCTACATCTTATTATCCTTATTATTTTGACAAGTAAGTGTAAGTGAGTATGGTTTTACACCACTTTTAGCAATATTCCATCAATATCACGGCGGGGGACACCAGAAATGGCCTTCACACATTGTACCCATGTCAGGAATCAAACCTGGGTCTTTAGCGTGACGAGCGAATGCTTTAACCACTTTGCTACATGACCACCCTGACAAGCAGGATGAGCTTCAGGAATGGATTCCTAGCTCATCTCATGTTATGGATCAGATTAAAAAATTAAACTTAAATGAATCAAATAGATTGTTTCTTTATGTGTGTATTGATCTCCTCCAGCTGTTTACTGCTGTGTTTGGTGTGGGCCCTTCCACCGCCAAGAAGTGGATTGAGAGAGGATGGACATCCATTCAGGATGCTGCTTGGGTGGAGGCTTTGTCCAAAGACTGGAGAGTCAGATGGGGTGAGTGGGTGTGTCAGTGGGATGAGTGGGTGTGTCAGATAGGATGAGTGGGTGTGTCAGTGGGATGAGTGGGTGTGTCCGTAGGGTGATAGGGTGTGTCAGTGTGGTGAGTGGGTGTGTCAGTGGGGTGAGCGGAAGTGTCAGTTGGGTGAGTGGATGTCTCAGTGGGGTGAGTGGGTCTGTCAGTAGGGTGAGTGGGTGTGTCAGTGGGGTGAGTGGATGTGTCAGTTGGGTGAGTGGGTGTGTCAGTAGGGTGAGTTGGTGTGTCCGTGGGGTGAGTGGGTGTGTCAGTGGGGTGGGTGTGTGTGTCAGTGGGGTGAGTGGGTGTGTCAGTGGGGTGAGTGGATGTGTCAGTGGGGTGAGTGGTTGTGTCAGTGGGGTGAGTGGGTGTGTCAGTGGGGTGAGCGGGTGTGTCAGTGGGGTGGGTGGGTGTGTCAGTGGGGTGAGTGGGTGTGTCAGTGGGGTGAGTGGATGTGTCAGCGGGGTGAGCGGTTGTGTCAGTTGGGTGAGTGGTTGTGTCAGTGGGGTGAGCGGTTGTGTCAGTAGGGTGAGTGGGTGTGTCAGTGGGGTGAGTGTATGTGTCAGTGGGGTGAGTGGGTGTGTCAGTGGGGTGAGTGGATGTGTCAGTGAGGTGAGTGGATCTGTCAGTGAGGTGAGTGGGTGTGTCAGTGGGGTGAGTGGATGTGTGTCAGTGGGGTGAGTGGATGTGTCAGTGGGGTGAGTGGGTGTGTCAGTGGGGTGAGTGGATGTGTCAGTGGGGTGAGCGGTTGTGTCAGTAGGGTGAGTGGATGTGTCAGTGAGGTGAGTGGGTGTGTCAGTGGGGTGAGTGGATGTGTCAGTGGGGTGAGCGGGTGTGTCAGTGGGGTGAGTGGATGCGCGGTTGGGTGAGTGGATGTGTCAGTGGGGTGATTGGGTGTGTCAGTGGGGTGAGCGGATGTGTCAGTAGGTTGAGTGGGTGTGTCAGTGGGATGAGTGGGTGTGTCAGTAGGGTGAGTGGGTGTGTCAGAGTGGGTGTGTCAGTGTGGTGAACGGAAGTGTCAGTGGGGTGAGTAGATGTGTCAGTTGGGTGAGTGGATGTGTCAGTAGGGTGAGTGGGTCTGTCAGTAGGGTGAGTTGGTGTGTCAGTGGGGTGAGCGGATGTGTCAGTTGGGTGAGTGGGTGGGTGTGTCAGTGGGGTGGGTGGGTGTGTCAGTCGGATGAGTGGGTGTGTCAGATAGGTTGAGTAGGTGTGTCAGTGGGGTGAGTGGATGTGTCAGTGGGATGAGTGGGGGTGTCAGTGGGGTGAGTGGGTGTGTCAGTGGGGTGAGTGGATGTGTCAGTTGGGTGAGTGGGTGTGTCAGTGGGGTGAGTGGATGTGTCAGTTGGGTGAGTGGATGTGTCAGTGGGGTGAGTGGGTGTGTCAGTGGGTAGAGTGGATGTGTCAGTGGGGTGAGTGGGTGTGTCAGTGGGGTGAGTGGATGTGTCAGTGGGGTGAGCGGGTGTGTGAGTGAGGTGAGTGGGTGTGTCAGTGGGGTGAGTGGATATGTCAGTAGGGTGAGTGGATGTGTCAGTGGGGTGAGTGGATGTGTCAGTGGGGTGAGTGGATGTGTCACTTCATTGAATATAGTGTCTTTTTCTGAACATTGGACACATTTGTTTTTTCAAATGAGTAAAAAGCATTTTTACAACTTGGGGATAATTATCCATTCAATGCCAATGTCGGCAAGTGTAACTGCAAGTAAATTGCAAATGATTCCGTGACATTTGATTGGCAAACCAAAGTATTTTTTTGCCTTTATGTTTCCATCAACCGAAATGGTAGTAGACCACACCGACTAGTCATGCTAAGGGACCACTGTACCTTAAGTGGTTGATTTAAAAAAAGGGGCAGGGCTAATGATGTCTCTGATTTTGTATTGTTTTCTACAGTGTCTTCGTGGCTATGATTGAATAAGCTGTCAGGGAAGTTATTATTGTTGACATATTTATTTATGGAAATTGTGCACACCGGTTCTTAAGTTTATATGTCCATAATTGCAACTATCTCATGCCACATGGGCCTTGAACCCGAATGCATTTAAAGCTGTGATGCAACACCATGAACCGAGAAACGATCCCCTGTCGTCCAACCTCGTCATGTTGCACAATGGACAGCATGCAACAAGTTGGCATAAACATTGATAGTAGCACTGTTGAAGTCTCGGGACATTTGCATATTCTGTCTTCAGATGTTTTTGTATTAAGTTCAGGGTGTGTGGTGGGGTTGTAACATTTTCATTAAAAAGCTGGATACATCAATTGTTGAACTGATCACCTGTTATGACTAGCAGCGTAGCTCACACAATAACAACAAACACATTTTGAGAAAAAATATTTCTACAAATGAGAAACTTAAACAAATAAGTGGTAATAAACATTGAATATATCATTATTATCACAGAACCATAAAGGTAAGTGTTGTGATTTATTCTTATACCTCAGTGGTCGTCTCCCGTTGAATGGCCACACACTCGGCTGGGGAAAAGGGGGTAACATTAAGTTCCCATGTATAATATGCCCCCCTAATTTTGGAGTGGAAAAAAGTGTGTTTTATACATGAATAAATACGGTAGCACATTTGAAGTCTATACATTGACTGTTGTATACTGTAGGGCTGGCGTTCCATGAAGAACTGCAGTCAAGGGTGGAGAGACCAGAGGCTGACAACTTCACGGCCATGGTGAGAGCTGAAGCTCAGAGCATCCTTCCCGGCACAACAGTCGAACTCACTGGTGGCTTTAGAAGGTATGTGCCGCCTTTGAAGTTCTTTTTGTCAAAACTCTATTTCACATGTCCTCGTGTCCTTTACTATGTTTCCATTTTTGGTCGGTTTTATTGAGTTGAATTTTTGTAGCAAAATTGTAGCATTTGGAAGTGGCTCAGATTTATAGCCCTCATTGGATTTATTTTTCCTATGAACAATTTAGTAGTCTCGGGTTAACTGACTAGCGTGAATGTCAAAGGTTGACTTGCAACTCACTGATGGTACTCAACTTTAGAAGGTACATGCCGATATTAAAAAGGACCTACATGGGAATGATTCAATCACACTTTCTTCGTCTGGTTTGTCTGGCCCAGGCTCATGTTAAGATTTTGTCTAAATTTGACTGCTGCTGCCTGTCATTTTTCTGTGGACTATTATGCAAAGATTATTGACATGAGAGGATATCCTTCCATGACCTTTGTATAAGTAGCCCAGGCAATTGACAGGTCTTGATGAGGTTAAAGGTCAAGGTCACGAGAAAGAAAAAAATTACTAACTGTTGTAGTAGTACTCCCCCCCCCCCCCAAATATTAACACTTTTATCATTGAACTTGGTTTATACCAGTGTGACCCTGCGTTGAAAGATAAGTCAAAGATTAAGGTCAGCATTGAAGTTATTCCAAAATATTGTTATATCTTTCTCAGTGTATCTCTACAGGCATGAAACTATATTCACATATGTCTTTAATCCTACTACTTCAAATGTTGATGTCATGTCTATCAAAGGTCAAGGTTATGTTTGAAGTAATTGTGAAAAGTGACTGTATCATTCATTATTCCTTACTAATCCTGAGGTATTTGTTCTATCTTAAGAAGTTTATTCAGGTCTGGATGTAATATACTCAGACTGAAAATTCTTAGTGGAATGTTATGATTTGGGGAACTTTGAAGAAATGACAGTGAAGTAGCGGCTTCTGTTTTTTTGCAAGTATGTGAAAAAACAGAAGCCGCTACTTCACTGTTTTTGGGGACAGGGTGTAAGATAGGATTTCCTGGCATTGACATCATATATTTAGGGGCAAGAAGACTCACCTGATCAATATGCCAATTAGGAGATAAACATACTGTGTTTTCAATGTAGAGCTTGGTGTGTCTGTAGATTGAGTCCAGTCTTTTGAGTGGGTTGTCAATGTGAATTACCGAATCGCCAACAACATCCTTAAAACAAAATATGGCGCTGTATATGCTTAAGCAGTTTGTTTACCCCGTAATACTTCACTTAAACATATGACAGGCATTGAAAGCATATAAGCACGGCAACTTGGAAACTAACATGAGGTGGGCCCCCCATAAAGAAAACTAAGCAAGCTTTGCAAAGCTTTCGTTCTATGCCGCACGTCACCATTATGACGTCATATCGCTCATTGTGACGCAAAAGATATGACACCACAGTCGTATATAGAAAAGCGCCAAATTCCAAGCTTTCTGTTGTCTCCAAAACTTATTTATGTCATGTTTTCTGTGCAAAATGTATTGCCACAACATTGTATTTTGTAGCCAATAATTGTATATTACTATTTAAATATGCCTACTGACAAGACTATTTAGTACTATTTTATGAATATTAGCTTTCGTGGTGATGCGGCCGTTAAACCAGCTGTTTCAATGAGTGTTTATTGTGATTTAATGGCCTCTGATTGACCAATCAGAATCGAGTAATTTCCCACTTCATGGTTGAATATGTGATATGCAAGCCTGTGTTTAGGGGCAAGAAGACGGGTCACGATGTGGATCTGCTCATCTCCCACCCACGGGAAGGAGCGGAGGTGGGGCTCCTGCCCCGACTACTGAAACAGCTGGAGAAGCGAGGATTTATTCTGTGTGGTAGTCATGAAAGGAACTCTTTCACCGAAGATGTTCTCAAACAGGATTTCAAACTCAGTCTGCGTGGACAGCTAGACCATTTTGAGAAGTGGCTTGGGATTTGTAAATTTCCCAAACAATTCGCGACCACCCAAAAAGGACATGATGATGTACAGGAAGTAGCAGGTAAGACTGACGTTTGTAGCAAACTGTCTGGAAGTGTGGAAGAGGATTATGAGCCTAAAGTCAAGCTACGGAAACTTGGTTGTGTGGGCGAGTGCCCCCGGAGTGTTGCGAGTGAGGAAAGAGACTGGCTTGCCAGGAGGGTAGACCTGATTGTGGCACCCCATAGTCAGTATTACTACGCTCTGGTGGGGTGGACAGGCAGCAAGCACTTCAACAGAGACCTGAGGCTGTACGCGACACGGGTGCTGGAGATGAAACTCACGTCTCATGGACTGTACAACATCAGCCAGGTAGGAGTGAGTGAGTGAGTTGTGTTTAATGCCGCTTTTAACAGTATTCCAGTTATATCACAGCGTGTCAGCTTAATGTGGGAGGAAAGCCGGATGTGATGCAGGTCTCAGACGTTTACCACTTCGGTGAAACCCACGAGCACGGGTATGGTGCTGACAAACCTAGAAACATAATCAGGGCGAACCGGGATTCGAACCCACAATCATAGGTTTCTGGCATGCCCAAGGGATGCGACTCTGCACAGCGAATCGCGGTGCCTTAGACGACTGGGCCACCCGTGCCCCCCAGCCAGGTAGGAGGAATGTTGGAATGGCAGGGTAGTGTTGATATATACAGGTTAATGTTGGTATATACAGGGTAGTGTTAGTATAACAGGAATGTTAGTTTATAAAGGGTAGTGTTAGTATAACAGCAATGTTGGTATATACAGGTTATCTTTTCCAAGTGTGACATGTGTTAACGTTTATTTGTATTTCAGGTTAGTGTGGTGTTTGTTTATTCCTATTGTAGAGTAGTTTAATGTTTGTTTATTGGTATTGCAGGGTAGTTTAATGTTTGTTTATTGGTATTGCAGGGTAGTTTAATGTTTGTTTATTGGTATTGCAGGGTAGTTTAATGTTTGTTTATTGGTATTGCAGGGTAGTTTAATGTTTGTTTATTGGTATTGCAGGGTAGTTTAATGTTTGTTTATTGGTATTGCAGGGTAGTGTGACGTGTTTATTGGTATTGCAGGGTAGTATGGTACCGGCCAGCAGTGAGAAGGAAGTGTTTGACAACATGAAGATACCTTACAGGGAGCCGGCACAGAGAAACTGCTGAGTCAGCATCAACAATGCTGAAAGTCCCTTGCAGGGATGTACTGCCTTGGCCTCTCAGGGGAGGGGCATCTCAGGGAGAAGGAAATTTCCCAGATCAGTTCCAGGCATGGAAAATGGAGGTCTGAGCTGGACCACTGTGACTGATTTGGCATCTACTTGTGCATCCTTTCTCATATCGTATTTGCATTGGACACGCTAGTTTGAGAATGGTGAAAAACCAGACTGTTCCTGCATCCTGACATCATAAACCAGATTTTTGTTGTCAGAACATTTTGAATGAAATAGGGATTTTTTCAATTCTTATAATTGGTATGTCTGAGTGCATAAGAAGACTGTTCACTACTATTAATTTATTATATGTTTGTTGGTTGTTTTTGTCATTGTCAAATACTGTCAGATGTTTGATATATTTTGTCATAATAACACAAGGTCTAATACAGTATAGCCAGTAATATGTTTGGTATGGTTCCTTAATTTTTAGAATTCGAGTGACATGAGCAGCGTAAGACATTGACACTAGGCCTGTAGTCCTTACCAAACTGCCCAATAGTTTATGTATAAGGATTACGAGAAATTTGCCATTTGGAAGGGTTTTGCTATATGTTACCATTGTAAGGACTAGTGGACAAAAAAAGTTAGTTTCTATCGCTGTCTGAGTTAACTGAGGTTTCCCATTTCAGGCAACCAGGGTTGACTAGAGTTATCCTTGGTTAACCAGTGTTAATCAAGGATGACAAATAGAGAATCTCACCCGAGTGTCTTTTGATATCAAATATATCAACACGAGTTGATAAAAGTGGAAACATTCCGAGGCTTGCCGAGGATTTTTGCCACTTTTATCAACGAGTGTTGATATATTTGATATCAAAAGACACGAGTGTGAGATTTTATTTATCATCCAGCATCATTCTTTCAAATTTTTCAATTTGTAGACAGTAATTAGCAGTGTCTTCAGTGTAAAGAGTACTGCAAACAGCTTCAGTAGCAGAGCCATTAGTGATGTCATTTGATTGTGACGTCATGGTAACCAGTGACGTCACAATGGTCTGCAAACCATTGTGATGTAATTTCATTGCAGCGATATCTACAGTGTAGATATGGCTTGATCTCATCCAAGAGATATCTCCTGTGGGAGCCAGTTTTGGATGACAAATGGCAGTACCTGAAATGAAATGCTGGAGGAGGAACACAACAGCCATATGTATCGCACACTATGAGAGGGTAACAAGTATTTCACTGCTTGAAAAAACTGCCTTTGTACCTTCTCTATTTAATGCATGTAAAATGACAAGAAAGTTCAAAATAATATGTATCCAAAATCATCATCAATCAAAGTTGCAATATTATTTCTAAATCATTCATATCAAGAATCGATAATCACATTTCTCTGGTGCATATCAGAATGCAATATACCATCAATACGTAGTTAATCATAATTATTAATCTGGTTATATTCATGATTGAAACAGCAAATGAAACTAATTAGTTCAACGATGAAACGACGAACAATCCATTATACATGTTTGCACTCGTTCCACAATTTAGGACTGAACACAACTGATCCAGCAGTAAGCTTCCCGGTAATAGAAAGTAAATACCAGTACATACTGTCCCAGTCTTGTCTTCTAAACCTCAGAAGCTCTCCACATCAAGCTATACATGCCTGACGTGACTTGGAAGCAAAATTGGGTGTATCACTGGACGTCAGGACCTAATGTTAGGGCTCCCTCAACCGTATGGTTCTGCCATTAATTGGTCTCAACCCAGGAATTGTCCGAGCAGTTGATGTGGCAGTTTGGTATCGATCATGTAGATGCACCAACCGAATATGGTTGTCTTGTTGACGTTACACGTGGATGACCGGCCTGGGGCAAGTCATGAGTGTTGTTCTGCTGTAGATAACGTCTCCAAAAAGATAATATTGAGTTTCGATGAACATAAATATGCCTGGGCAACTTCGTTTTGCGCCATTCCTGTTTGTAGCATACCAACGGGGTGTGGACATTGATTTTCAGCAAGCAGTGCCACTGTGTAAACATTATTTACGGTAAAACAAAGCGTTTTTTATGAAAACCTGATAGCTGAACAATCGTTGAGTACTGTACACATTAAAAAACATGTGCGTGAGTATCATGCTCCCAACTGACACGAGATGTCTTCATGAATATGTATTAAGAGATGCATTATTTCATTTCAGAATAAATATGTATTTATATTTATATATTTATTATACTTTATATGAAGTATATGTGTTTGTGATTGTTACTTTTAAATTGTCACTATGTTTGATGTTGTAATGCATTAGAAAATACTTACACAAGGACAAAGTTTTATTTACAACAGCATCAACAAAGGAGTAACAACGATAGCTAGGACGTTTTCTTACCAAAATCAAGTTTGTTGGTAGTCATGAAACGTCATTTCCTGCAAAGGATGCACGTTTTACAATTGCCTACGGTTTCATTATAAAATACAATATTCTTTGACCATCACTTCTTGTTTCTGCCGTACTATCAAATACACCATAGTAATGAATGACCAAATAAGGCAGTATTACGTAGGCAATGCTGTTACTATTTCCATCACTCCGGGAATTGATTTCAAGTTAGTTCATAGCATGTCAGAAAATGGTTTTGGGAATACTTCAGTAGTGATCAGCTGCTCTTGAGTCTGTAGGCCTTCAATGGAATGTGTTTCTGGGTACCCCTGTTTCTCAGCCTGAAACAATGATTGTGATCCTTCATAAGCCCGGGCAATGTTTAGATCATCTTCTAAGAGGGAAAGAAATGTTATGTGCGAATGTGCTGAACATACAATAGACATAATATAGTCCTCTTGGACCCCATCTTTGAAGTATCTCTGTGTTAGACAGGAATAGCTTGCCATGAAAACCCAACACGGGGCACCAACTGTTTCGCGTCATGTTCTGACAAGTTAGGGGCTGTGGGGTACCCTTGAGGTGAAAGCATTCCTTCGTCACGCCGAAGGACCTGGGTTCGATTCCCTACATGGATACAATGTGTAAAGCCCTTTTCTGGAGCACCCGCCTTGATATTGCTGTTATCGGACATCATTTTTGTCATTGATGCATCAAATTTGGAAATGTCCTCCACATGTCTACCATAAAACCTTTTGAAAGCTTTACTGAGGCCTTGAATGTTGTAACCTTGATCAAACAACCTCTGAGCAAGAGTTGAGTGATGCACAGTTAAAGTATTGGAGATATAAGTGAGTGAGTTTGGTTTTAACCCTACTTTGAACAGTATTCCAGTTATATCACGGCGTGTCAGTGGCGGAGGAAAGCCCGAAATGATGAAACCATGAGCACAGGTGTGATGCTGACAAACCTAGAAACAAAATCCAGGCAAATTGGTATTCGATCCCCGAATCATGGCGTACCAAAGGGACGCAACTCTGCACAGCGAATTGTGGCCCCAAGAACTACAGGGTTACATGTTCCCCTGGAGCTATTAAGCGCTATGGTTGGATGTGTGTTATTTTCCCTTGTTATACCTCGTGGTGCGACTTATATAACTGGAACGGGAGTACAGGCTATGTGGTCAGTCGGTGTCTTGCCAGGTCCAAATCCGGTTATTTACAAACTGCTGTGATAAAGCTTGACTATTATGGAAGTTACCCTGCACACAGACACTCACTCACTCACCTGTCGTGATGCATCTGTCTGACTCGGGCTCCAGAATCGCCGCACAAAGGGCAGGAGGAGCCTCTCATCCCTCACCGGCTCATGCAGGTGTTCTGACGACATACATTTCATTATATAATTCACCACCTACATGTACCTCCACATTAACTCAATAAATACAGCGGAATTCAACCTAATGTTATTCTTGTTAACAGTCATAAAGGGTCGACTCATCCGTTAAGGGCAGAGTACATGAATATATTTAAATTAATAAACTTAAAATTTGTTTTTGAATGTTGATGAATTCAGGGAACTATTCACAGCCGGGCTGTGGTTGCTGGTGCCAATTTAACACAGATGACTCACTTGTCGCCAGACTGACCACCAACCCCACTGAAAACGCCACCAGACACCCAACCATGGCGAAGTACAGGTAGGAGATGTTGTAGAGGGAGTAGTCACCAGAGTCGACGTTGTTACCAGGCACAGGAGAAGAGGAACTACATCATATATTTGACATCGCTAAAGACGTTGTTACCAGGCACAGGAGAAGAGGAACTTCACAATGACATAAAGAGGTTTTTGATGACCTATGCTACTTCGTTTTTGGATACAAAACAATATGTGTATGCTAATTATAGCTGATTAGATTTATTCATGGAGTTTCAGGCCTCCGGCCCACTGAACATACATGCTCAATAGATTGTACAAAGTTGTGTTTTGTTTGTTTGTTTGTTTAACACACACTCTGCAATATTCCAGCTGTATGACGGCGGTCTGTAAATAATCGAGTCTGGAACCGACAATCCAGTGATTGAAAAGATCATCGATCTACGCACATGAGATACGATGACATACATCAACCAAGACTGACCACCTGAACCCGTTAGTCGCCTCTTACCACAAGTACATTCGCCTTTTACAGCAAACATGGATCTTCATGGGCCCGTTGATATGTGAAGAAAGTAAGAACCGTATGTGAACATTGGTCGAGGGATTGTTTTTGAATTCACTGAAAAAAATGAATGTTGTTAGATAAACGTCTTACCTTGTCCTGATATCTTGGTGGCTTGTACTATTGTTGAAGGGGTCAGGGAGGTAGAGGCCTGTAGTGTTGTTGAAGGGGTCAGGGAGGTAGAGGCCTGTACTATTGTTGAACGGGCCAGGGAGGTACATGCCTGTTATGTTGGATGCATCCAGAACGTGACAGGAGTTACCTGGTGCCGGCGGTAGTGGTACAGGTCTATGTCCGTACATGATGCCTCCGAGTGCGATCCACACGTTCAGCACCAGAGACATCAGCAAGCCAGACGCAGCCCCCTGTTGACGGACACGTGTAAGCTGAGAATACATATATCGTACACGTGACTGTATACAGTAGGGAGATGGCGCTGCGATATGAAAATATCAACTTGGCAGGTCATACGATGAGACAATCACGTTATTTGACAAGAAAAGACAAGGATCCTCTGTTCATATTATGCTACCAAGACATGCGGCATTTAAAAACAACAACCAAAAACAACATATGTAAGCTGATAGTTTTAATTAGAACAAGATCTGCGTTTGCAGCTGTAGCTGAAAAAAATATCTCGTCTCCATAAAAAATTCCACCTCCCCCCAGAATACCAAATAGTCGACCCCCAACCGTTATGTTCCCCCACGGCGCTGCAGCTCCCAGAAGGAATACGCCAAGTACAGGGCCTGAACAAGCTCCACCAATTCCTATTGCAGCCTGTAATTAACGATTAATATAATCACATTGTTCTGTATAGGATATGTCCACGGACATTTTGGCTTTCTTATTTTCGTAAATTCTGAGTAATTTGGAAATTTTATATTCCAATTGGGATTTTTAACTGTTATTTTCTGCAGACTCGGGACCTCTGACCAAGTCGAGATAAATTCCTGAACTTTCCTTTATTGAATGTACTTGTTTGACAAAATAAAGTCAGAGCTATTTAACAATGGATACTCATTTCCAGTTATAATTATGAATAATTTGTCATTTGTTTGCTTGCTTGTTTATTTTTTTATTATTTACACCGTAGAATTGTGCTGACCTGGATAACAGTTCCTGGCAGACTCCATGCACCAAAAGATAAACACACGCAAAGACTTCCATAGAAGAACACTGAAACGGAACACATCATAAAGTGAACTACTGTTATATGGCATTTTATTGTTGAACACTGATTGTAACTTTATTATATTGTTTCTGTTGTATTTTAGCAGTGATTAGTTGTCAGGAATGTAGTAGTGTTAAATGTAAGCAGTTTTGAGAAAGTTATATATTGACTATATTCTGATACTAGTCTCATGTGTAAACTTCCGGATGACCGTGGACTGTGATAGAGTGTTATAGAAACATGTGGACTATTCTATGTTACGAGGATACTGTATGGAAATTTCCTGTGGCTAGTCAGACTGTGCCTCTCGAATCGCTCACACACTCCGTCATTCACGCATTTCATTACATCCAGACCAGCTTTCGAGTGAAGATCGCTCATCACCCCGGATTCCCCGACTAGGCCGTCGCGGAAGCTTGACCACTGTCGCTGCTGGGTGAATATATTATTATCACTGACTTTCGTAATCCCCACTGTATTTTCATATTTCATAATGATATATACTGCCATTGAATATTGTATTACTACTATATTGTGTACTGTCATTGTGTTGATTTGTAAACCTAGTTAATTTTGAAATAGAATCATTGATTGGATACCATTTGTGGTTGTTTGTTGGTTTCACGCTAATTTCCTTTACCTGCAGATTTCCCGGTTCACATATTGTCGAATCGAGAAGTTATGGCTAGAGTTATCAATGCGATAATCCAAACGGGTAAACTTGGTCATTAGAGCCGATAAATATGCAGCTGAGGTCACCAAACATGCATGAACAATACTGTAATCTCAACATATCGATTCTATGTCAGCTTGCACAATAAACTTTTGACCAACATTCCCAATAATGTAATATAATGGTTTTCAAATATGATGTTGATTATATAGATAATTGTAGCTAGAAATCAGTTGGTATTAAATGGCAAATTGGACGGTTCACTGTATATTCCTACGCAGTTTCAAAAGTTACTTCATTGAGCGAAATTACGTCGATTATTTTAAGAAGAACAGTGTATGAGAAATAGACAATTATTGTCGTGTTTCGGCGTCGTAAATTTCAAGTATTAGGAATTAAATATAATCTGTATTCTCAACATGGTCTCATAATTTATATATCTCGATTGTCAGTATATTGCTCTGCATATTGTAGTTATGCCAAATACAGACGGGTCCAGGTGAGTAGATGTTAGAATTAAGTTACAGACCACTCTGTGTTTTCAATGAATTTGGTGGCCCAGCTCTCCACTGGAAACACAGTATGCTCTCCATTCTACCATGACAAATAAATGGCAAACTCCTCGGTAATTGGTAACATTGAGTGCATGGGTATGGATGCGCCCTGTGAGAGAGTACATACGGTAAAGCAATCCAATTTCGTATTATGTTCCGGAGACCAGTCTCGTTCCGTAATATTCCCATTGAATTGGTTGTTTGAGTTTTTTAACCTTTCGGGTGTACGCGAGAGTGAACGGGGTCGAGGGTCATTGGATAAATTGTGAATCACGTGCGCTCGAGCCATTAAATAATCAATGAACCTGAGCCAGAATGAATGGACGTTTCTGACTGTATGTATTCATGTTTTTCATCATGCGTTAATAAACGTATTCAATTTATATTTATTTGAATCACAGCTTGAGGATCCATCTTCCGCAGCCCCCCCCCCCCCCCCCCCCCCGTCGGTCTCAAATAATCGAGTCAGGACCAGACAGGCCATGGCAGTTGTTGACATCGTGAGCATCGATCCAGGCAATTGGGATACAATGACCAACCAAGCATCAACCAAGTCAGCAAGTCTGACCACCCGATCCCGTTACTCTCCTCTTTCGATAAGCATAGTCGCCTTTTGATGGGTTGCTGAAGACCTATTCCAGCCCGGATCTTCACGGGTAGGGTTATCAATGTGAATTCAGGGAACGCCAATAATAAAATCAAATTTTTGAACGAATGATGGCGCTGTACATACTCAAACATTATCATCCCCCGACACGAAGTGGGGCGCAGGATATTGGAACGGAGTTCGTCCGTCCATCCGGTTCTCAAAGGATTAAAAGTTTCTCAAAAACTGTTTAAGTCAGAGAAATGAAATTTTACACACTGGTGTTACTGGTCATGATTTCAACTGAGTTCGAACATTGATGTAAATTCAATTTGTACACAGTTATAGCCCTTGCTCCGTGATTTTCAACTTTGTGCTTTTACTACGTGAAATTGAGACAAGATTTCTCAAACTACTGAAGTTACATGAATGAAAGTTTGCATGCTTATCTAAGATATACTTGTGTACCTTTTTGTGTGTATTAATTTCACATTTAATATTGTTTTCTGATGACAAAAAGCGGCCCAAGTTCCTATCTCTTCTTAAGGCTTTATGGGGCTCTTGTTCATATATAGTTTATGTCCACTATACTATATGAACAAACAAACTTCTAATGTGCCTCATGGCGGGGTATAGTGTGAAACGCTGTTTTCTTGTTTCACATCATAATACTTGACTCGATGATCCACGGTGATGACGCCTTCAAATCTGCTGTTTCATTCAGCAGTGATTATTGTGAGTTGAGTCCTCTGACTGGCCAATGAGAATCGAGAGTTTCCTAATTTCCTCTTAACTATGACGACCCAAATGACTCTTACCTGACATCTTGGCAGTGAAGATTTTCCCTTTCTCGGCTGTGTTATACCGGTCAAACACTGGTCGAAGTAGATCCTCGATGGTGTTGGCGGCGAGGCCGTTGATGACGGAGGAGACAGAACTTAGAAAGATTTCCGATGTAGTTAATAAAAGTGAACAATGTAAATAAACAGTTCAATTAAATAAATGACAGTTTTGCATTTAGCTACGTTTCGATGTACATGTAGATTTGTACACTGTTACCACACCTGCTTGATAACGTGTAATATTCTACTTCGAATAGTGCTAAATGCAATAAACTAGTTGTTATCCATAAAGTTGTACGTTTAACTTATCTTAAGTAAGATGTGGTATCTTCTTAGGCAACTGTTCGAAATATGCCTTTGTTAACCCTGTAGCGAATGGCTACCTGTAGGATGAGATGGCAATGTGACCTGCTAGTGTCGCATGAGGTGACCGTCCTCAATTATGGCACCATTTTCATGATGCAAAAATTATGGATGAAATAAATTTCACCCCCATCCTCAAATATCACACGATGCCTGAAAGAGAACTGAAATGACAAAGAATTATGTATGGTTTTAATGAATACGAAAATATTATCATAATTACCTGAGTCCAGCACTAAATATTGTTGCTAAGAATAGACCCGACATGCCCGGTATGCCATTGAATATCTCCATCATGAAATAAGGGACGAGCTGAAACATGACAGAGTTGAGTGAGTAAGTTGTGCTTAACGCCACTTTTAACAGTATTCAAGTTATATCACTGCCCGTCAGCTTAATGTGGGAGGAAAGCCCGAAGTGATGCAGGTCATAGACGTTTACCACTTCGGTGAAACCCACGAGCACGGGTATGGTGCTGAAAAACCTAGAAACATAATCAGGGCGAATCGGGATTCGAACCCACAATCATATGTTTCTGGTGTGTCCAAGGGACGCAACTCTGCTCAGCGAATTGCGGCACCTTAGACGACTGGGCCACCCGTGCCCTTGACAGAGTTGAGAACTTTGCTGTAACCTGATTTATCATCCAAAACTGGCTCCCACAGGAGATATCGCTTGGGTGAGATCAAGCGATATCTACAGTGTAGCTATTGCTGCAATGAAATTGTATCACAATGCTTTGCAGACCATTGTGACGTCATTGTTACCATGCCGTCACAATCAAAAGACATCACTAATGGCTCTGCTACTGAAGCTGTTAGCAGTACTTTTTACACTTAAGACACTGCTAATTACTGTCTACAAACTGAAAAAGTTGGAAGAATGATGGATGATAAATAAAATCTCACCCTCGTGTCTTTTGATATCAAATATATCAACACTCGTTTTTTTGCCTTTTTTGCCACTTTTATCAACTCGTGTTGGTATATTTGATATCAAAATACACTTGGGTGAGATTCTCTATATAACGATGTTTTGTAACATTAATTTAATTGATATATCAACGGAATGGTAAGGTTTAGTTTTCTATTTATTACATTTCTAATCTATCATATTTTCATTCCGCCACGTTATTTCAACCAGATAGTGATGTATGCACATAGGTCAGACTTGTAGACATGGTTAAACTGGAACACTGTAAACATGTTGGCGTAATGGGCAACGACGTAACGTATATATGCTGGCATAATGCCTTGGACATGAAGACATAGGGCGTGACTATGCTGACGTTATGGCTTAGAGGGTAAACGTTTAGACACATCTGAAAAGAGACATGCCGACATCATGGTGAATCCAGTGTTTTACAAAGAAAATACACTTATTCGAGCGGGCACTGGCAGCCCAATCGCCTAAGGAGCCGCAATTCGTTATGCAGAGTTGCGTCCCATGGGCGGAAATCTATTATTGTGGGATCGAATCCCGATTCGCCACGATTATGTGTCAAGATTTGTCAGCACCATACCCGTGCTCGTGGGGTTCACCCAAGGTCAACGTCTGAGACCTGCATCACTTCGGGCTTTCCTCCCACATGAAGCTGACACTCGGTGATAACTTGAAAACTGATAAAAGCGGGGTTTACCCAAACTTACTCACTCACTCGCTTATTTGATCATTTCACATATTTTTAACAAAACCGATTCTGAAGTATAACCCAGTATTACCTGGTTTCTGTTCTTGAGGTATCCAGCCTTGAACGGGTCACATCCTTGAACTGTGTAGTAACTGTAGGCCACGAGTCCAAGGAAACTTATGCTCACCACATAGATACTCACCACGACGGCAGTGGCTGCATAGACGCTGTAACAGGTAAGGAGACGACACTGTGCAATATGTGTTTTGTTTGTTCACGATCCTGTTCGTCGTCTCTTGTCTTGCGACAAGCGGGGCGATGGGGTACCCTAGTCACGCTGGGGACCCAGTTCGATTCCCCCACTTGGGTACATTGTGTTAAGCCAATTTCCGGTGTCCCCCGCCGTGATATTGCTGGAATATTTCGTAAATCCATCCTCACTCACTCTTACGACAAGCCGAGCCGTTTCTTACGACAAGCATAGGTTACTAATGACCAATTCTAACCCGGATTTTGTCCGCAATATGACAACTGCATCACGGCTCTCTACAACGAAATGAGGGTGGAACCAGAACTAGGTGATTGGCAGCATCAGCATCTGATCGCATCATCACAACCTTCCGACCACCATTTAGTCATTTTAGTAATCAGTTATAGACAAGTGGGAACTGGGATCTATTCCTGAACCCCTTTGAAGAATTACTGCGATAAAACAGGATTGAATAGATTCTTGTACAGCATTACATGATATGGCGTTAAGTTTGAAATGAATAGCTGATTAAACTTGAACAAATAATATTCAACTTGAACAATATATATATATACACTCCAATATAAGAAAAACATAACCGATTGTATAACAATGGGGGGGGGGGGGGGCACGATTGTGGGTTCGAATCTCGGTCTCGCCACCATACCCGTGTTCGTGGTAAACATCTGAGACCTGCATCACTTCGGGCTTTCCTCCCACATTAAGCTGACACGCCGTGATATAACTGGAATACCGTTAAAAGCGGCGTTAAACAATGAATATTGTTTCTCTCACCAAAATGGCTTCTAAATTGTTGAAATACGCCGTGGATCATCTACATATACGGATGTGAGTATTTGGGACAGGGAATTGTGCCGTTTAGTTTTGAAATGTTCACTTTGGGAGCGTTGTTCACAAATTTCTAAAACATGTCGCCCAAACGCCACCTTAAACGTTTTATACGGGCAAAATAATGAAAACGTAAGGCTCTACTTGGCTATAAAAAGAATACATCTGTCTACAAAAGTGTTACATGATTTTGCAATTTTTAACGAACTTAACTATGCCACGACTTAACTCTGCAACACGCAACATCGCCATGGGCCGGCATCAAGCTGGAGAGTCGTCTAAATGTCAACCAGAATACAATTTCATGTCTCGTTTTACGATTTCAAAATTCTGGGTCAACGCATGACAATCCACGTTCGGGCCGACCACGATTCACGACAGCCGCCCAAGAACTGTACATCCGGGTGCAAACACCAAGAAATAGAATCAGAGTGAACCGGGATTGGAACCCACAAACATTGGTTTCTGACACTGGCAAAATGCGCTGCCTTAGACGGCTGGGCCACCTATCACAGAGATGATAACTGACTGATCAGGTTTATGTCCTTATAACTTACAGTTTGGCCTGTCTGACGCTAGGTAGCGCACACATCCTCTGTATTGCTGATTGGTCGAAGATATACGCCATGAACATGAAGGTGCCTCCCACCACGAGAGACCAGAACGAGTGACGTACACGGGGATCCGCACTGAAACTGAAACATAGGGGATACAAACAGTCGCACACATTTCCTAGCATGCCTTACTTGCTTTGATATATTTGAAAAAACACAAGCAGATGAACTAAGGTATTTGTTTAATTTGTCCATTGTTTAATTGGTCTTCAGCAACCCATGCTTGCCGTAAAAGGCGACTATGCTTGTCGTAAGAGGCGACCAACGGGATCGGGTGCTTAGGCTCGCTGACTTGGTTGATGCATGTCATCGTATCCCATTTGCGTGTATCGATGCTCATGATATCAATCACTGGATTGTCTTGTCCAGACTCGAGTATTTAGAGACCGCCGTCGTGTAGCTGGAATATTGGTGAGTGCGGCGTTAAACAAGAAATAAACAAACATTGTTTAAGGAATGTCCATGTAGAAATCTTACTCTACAGGCGGGACTCTCCCTCCCTGGACTGCCAGATCCCAGGTCAGTCCGATGCCGCCGATGTCATACACTCCCTGAAACAAAGACAGTATTACGTCTGAGCTGATGTCATTGGGGTGTTCATTTCCCCTGATTTCCACTGACCCACTTCCGATGGACCTAGTGGAATGAAACTTGGCATAGGTATTAGTCTTTCTCCACATAGGAACCACCTAGAGTTACACACTCCTCCCATCGTTTTATGTAACTATGGAGACCTCGCTTGTAAAAGCCCTCATTTTGCGTCTCAAACCAGGACTTGACTTCAGAAATCAGTGTTTCATCATCTGTGAAACGTTTTCCCTTCAAAAATGACTTCATGGTTGGAAAGAGGTGGAAGTCAGATGGTGCAAGGTCAGGAGAGTAAGGAGGATTTGGAAGGATTTCATAGCCACAGGACCGCGCTTCTGTCTGGGCAACATGAGAGTTGTGTACTGGAGCACTGTCTTGCAGGAGACGGACACCCTTGGTCAGCATGCCACGCCTCTTAAGCTTGATAGCGTCCCGCAATTTCCGCAGCAGTGAAGCATAATAAGCTCCTGTAATATTTTCTTAGAATCCATAGGCTTGAGTTTGGGATCCTCACATATACAGGTATAGTTTTGCTGTAAATGCCGCTTGGCTACCATCAGTACAGAACGTATTATAAAACGAAAAGTTAAAGGGCGGTCGGGTAGCCTAGTGGTTAAAGCGTCCGCTCGTCACCCCGATGACCCGGGTTCGATTCCCGACATGGGTACAATGGTGTCCCCCGCCGTGATATTGCTGGAACATTGCTAAAAGTGGCGTGAAACCATACTCACTCACATTAGATTATCTGCTGTAACAGATTCCACTTGGCGTTAAAGACAACATAGGTGTGAATACTATGTGACGGATCCCTTTAAATCAATGATGACACCAGGTGTTCGCGAAACACTGTACAGAATGAAATACTTTACCTTAAACAATATTGAATACAACCCAACAGCCAAGATAAGGGCCTGGAATACGTCCACAGCGACCACGCCCCGTAGTCCACCCTGAACCAGAAAAATGTGTGGAAAATAGAAACCATCTTCAGATTATGGCATAGGGCAACATTGTGTTGTGTTTTTTTATTGTATGATCTAGGATAAGATGAGCATTCTTGAAAGATCAGTGATGATGAACGAGTAACTCACAATGGCCGTGTAGAGTGTTGCAACAGCTCCCACAAGCAGCACCGACACCCACAATGGGAGACCAGCAACTGTGAGGACACAAACGTTATTTGCAAAGAATTTTAGCAACTATAAAACGTCAACGATAGAGAAGAACCAGACTCGACTATCAAGCGCCAAAACAAAATAGAGGTGAAAAAATATGAAAATATAAATGATTGATGACGCATAGCAATTTAAACGATGTCGTCTTTTGACTTCCATATTCATATATACATTTAGATAATACGTATGGACTTTTAATAACCCTTACTTTTAAGCCCAAGTAGTTCAAGGTGAATAACTTTGATCGTTAGTTTACCTGTTTCTATGGCAACTGCTGGCGCTAACAAAATTACAGCTGTGTAGAAGATCTGGAAGGTAAATATATTTCAAAACGTTCTGTAATCAAACATAATCGAAGTTTCCAATCAATAACTGTATCAGAAAGCATAACAAGCTTGTGAAACACAATTCACGCATCTGAAAAACAAAAGCAGAAAGGAGGCACCATGTTCCTGGAATTGTACAACCTTCAGTGTGTCCCTCAGTCATTTTACACAGCGTTAGGGGCGGTCGGGTAGCCTGGTGGTTAAAGCGTTCGCTCGTCACGCCGAAGACCCGGGTTCGATTCCCGACATGGGAACAATGGTTTCCCCCAGCCGTGATATTGCTGGAATATTGCTAAAAACGGCGTAAAACCATACTCACTCACACAGCGTTAACTTACGTTCTGCACCATCCCCACCACGCTGATACATCGTCTCAGCACCACCGACCCGAACCGCAGTTGGAAATACTGTAATGACAAATAGCATATTCAAACTGAGTTGTCTTTACCAAATTCAAATGCCATTTTTTCCTTATCAATCATATTCTTTTCTATTCCTTGAGTGAGTTATAGTTTGTCAGTCGGGCATGACGTGTAACTAATCATCCATCGTAAAGCCCCTCAGTACCCTCTCTAATCTCCATCTTGAAAGTCATCTGCAAATTTGTAATTTCCAAAACTCTTTAACTGGGGATCTGAATTATTTTTATGAATTTCCGAATACAGTAAACTACGTTTATAACGAACACGCTTATAACGAACTGACCGATATAACGAACTTATGTTTTAGTCCTGTCCATTTGTAGTATATATGCTGTATATATGCGTTTAACGAACTACGGTTATTACGAACTAAAATTAGTGGTCCCTTTGAGTTCGTTATAGCCGTAGTTTACTGTATTCATTAACTTTTACGTCTTGTAGAACTATCAATGGAAATCTGAATTCGACCTATTCGATATACCCTATCAACTAACGATCAATGGAACTGAGAACAATGGATACTTCGGAAACAGTAATCATGGAAGGAATGCCAAATAATGCGAGAATCCACCCCTGGCTTATAATGCGCCGTGAAATTAATGCGAGCAACCCTACCTTTGAACTTTAAAAGCTAATTAGATTATATAGTTTTGGGTGATGGCAGTGCGATATAAATAAAAGACATTGCAATCTTCACAAACTTAATTTCAGCTGTTTGACACGTGATCTAACGTCTCTAAAAGTAAAGCAGGACATTCAAAATAAGGCATATTCAAATGAGATAGGTCAGGTCAAGTATATACCAAACGATGTTGCAGATGACATGAACAACAATCATATCAACGACGGTGATGATGAAGCCGTCGGTGAAATGGACATAGGATGGATTCAGATCAATACGTTTTCACATCTCTTTCATCTCAAATCAATAATTGCATTTTAATTTAAAACATGCATACGTTCTTCATAATATACACAAAAAATTAACGCCAGAGAATAAGTCCCGAATATCTGCCAAAGTACATTTCATTTGGCGTTGAAGGCAAAATAGTGATGAATATTATAAGAATGGATCACTGAAAATCAGTGATGACACCAGGTGTTCGCGAAACACGTGCCGAATATGTGCCAAAATACATTTCATTTGGCGTTGAAGGCAAAATAGTGATGAATATTATGAGAATGGATCACTGAAAATCAGTGATGACACCAGGTGTTCGCGAAAAGGGTAAGCGTGTCCTGCCCTACCGGCAGCACCAGCCTCGCATACACTGTTCACACAAAAGGAAGTGTTTGTTTGTTGGTGCATCCAGCAACACTCAGTACACAGTCCAGTCTAACGATACAAGAGCACCATTCCAGTCATTCCATCGAGGAACACTACCAAAGAGTTTTATAAACTAACCTTGTGTTTTTGCTTACTGTACCTCATAAACACTGGTCAACTGCAGTGAATGCATCATTGGTACCACAGTGAAGAAGGAGGTGAACATCGCCACAGCACAACCTAGACTTACAAAAGCATACGTAAAACCACTAGAGAAAGTTTCAGCGGGCATCCCGACGAAGGACGTCGATGATAAGTACGTCACGCACAGAGACAGCGTCACCGGGATGACGTGGAGACGCCGTCCCCCCATCAGGTACTCCTCCCTGGTGTTCCTCCTTCTTCCCCTGATGGCGTAATAAAGCCCTATCCCCACAGACAGGGACAGGAATCCACAGATGACGACATAGTCAGCCGCAGAGATGGACACCTTCGCCATTGACGATGTCTGGTTAACGCTGATGTGACTGACCCCTGAGAACAGCTATACTGGTATGTGTATTCATAATAACCATTCCACTACTTTATATCACGCATCTGTCAAATATATATATACATATCTATTCGCATTCAGATAATATGTATTACCATATTTATAACAATAAACAAATGTAAATGTTGTTGTTAACATTATCATAAAAATACAGATCAAACCCCTACATGTGATGGCTGAGTGAGTTGGTTTTAATGCTAACTGAACATTTCAGTACAATTAAAAAAAGGTGTTCCCGATGGTAGATTGTTTTTATGTTCAGTGAAACGGGCCTTACGTGGGTTGTTTTCGACTAAAGAAGGTTTTAATATATGCACACTGTGCTTATGGACACGACAGTATTAATATTCAGTGATCACGTTAGTGTGGGGTTCTATGGTAATGCTGACGTAATGGCCAATGTTATAATGTGGCTCTCAACGTTGGATGGTGCAGATTTAGTTTCACTGTTCATTCTGTCGTTAAGAGATAATACAACATGTCATTTCTGGCGTTATTTCTCTTAAAGCCGCATTATTCTTTATTAAACACATCTGTTTTTTAAGCGCTCCATTATTTTGGGGGAATGGAGAATTTAGACATCCAAAATGGCATGGTTCTTTGTCCAGTTCTAGAAAAGCAAATAACAGCACTACATTTAAGACTACTATTATACTAGAACCTTATTTATTAAGTGTAAATTTACATAAGTTTAGAACAGCTCTATTTCGATTTCGTTGTGGCTCACATGATCTATTTATTGTAAAAGGCAGATATGAAGGTATTTCAAGAGAACATAGACTTTGTAGGATTTGTAAAACTGATTGTATTGAAGATGAATATAACTTTTTATGTGTATGTCCAGTGTATAAAGATTTAAGAGCAAAATATCTAAATAACTATTTCTACGGCAACCCAAACGGTAACACATTTTGTAAATTAATGACTTGTGGTTGTACAGAAACTATTAGAAATTTATCAATGTTCATTTATCATGCTATGAAACGAAGAAAATGTATGAATTTGTAACACGCCCCAGACAATGCACTATAGGTATTTGGCCATGTACCAGGAATAAAGATTGATTGAGTTGATTGTGTTCTCTGCCGCTGTTGCACGTGCTCCGTCGCGAGCTGATCTTCACACTGCATGTTCTATGACTCTTTAGAATGTTTGGTCAAAGTGTAAGAGTAGAGATGTGTTTTAAGGAGCGGGATATCCTTGTAACTCTCCATTCCTGAAAAATAATTGAGCAGAGACCCCGCCGGGGCAGAGACCTATTATTTTTAAGGAATGGAGAGTTTCGAGAATATTCCGCTCCACAACCGAGTAGTATAATTATTCTGGTAAAATATAGCCAGGCGACTCTCCCAGGCTCAAATCAGTGATGGCTTATCCGGTGAACCATATACATGACTTCTTCAAGGGAGGAATAAAGGAATCTTTAATTAAGATCTGTTCAAGGGAGGAGAGTGGATTTCCATGTTTATAAACCAGATCGACGTGTTAAATGTCAGGGGTATAATACATGTGTCTGCAGTCCAGCCCTACATTCAGTGGACCAAAGCTGTCTGAAGCGCAAGTGAGCGCCTACGAGACTTGTGAGGGCTTGGCCTGCCTTTGAGAGGGCTATAGACCTCGCCACTTGAAACAGAATCACGAAATATCGCGAGGATTTATTATCGAAGATAGCACCAGGTGTGCTAACACTTGTAAAGTGAAAACAAGCCATTGCGCCTATAAGGAATATTACTCACAAAAAATAAGCTTTTTCAAGAACTATACATTTTTTCTCGCGATAAACAACGTCATTGAGTTTTGATCACGTGGTTACAATGCAGGTAGGCATCGACAGTTAGGCAACTGATAAATAACGCTTTAAACTCTAACATCTGCATCATTCGTCACCACTCGACCCTTTCCGTAACCTGCAAGAAGACTCGTCCCCCTATTGATGAATGTTCATTCGTCACCACTCGCCCCTTTCCGTAACCTGCAAGAAGACTCGTCCCCCTATTGATGAATGTTCATTCGTCACCACTCGCCCCTTTCCGTAACCTGCAAGAAGACTCGTCCTCCTATCGAGGAATGTTCATTCGTCACCACTCGCCCCTTTCCGTAACCTGCAAGAAGACTCGTCCCCCCGATGAATGTTATGTGCGAAAATACGACAAACCAATCAGAATGCTTTGATTTCAAGTTCTTCGTCAAAGAATCCCTCAGAAATAATTTTTGATTTTACACATAACTTGCATTTAAAAATATACCCAAGACACAGTTAAATGTGTTCAATCATACTGTATAATTCCGCATGTCCAAATGTGCTTTAAATTGCATCTGAAATATATATAATATATGGGGAATATATAAGTGAACCATTACGCAACGAGTTGACAATTGTTTTAGGTATGCCCGTTTGCGCTAAGACGGAACCCGGTCGCAAAATGGCCATGAGAGGGGCACGAGTCGCTATTCGGCTTGTTCCGGAATAACACGAGTTGCAATTGGTCACGAATGCATCTGCACGTGTTTTTCATTTCTGTTTGTGCTGGTAATATGTGTAGGTCTCACACGCTGTTGTATTGAAACAATGGAATACTATTTTAAACCAGTCTGTCAGCATGATGCAAAAACCATGAGAATTACCGAAAACTTCACCTGCATTCGAGCCTCTGTTGGTAATATTTAATATTTGTTTCCGTCTCTAAAATATCCTGTCTGATCGATAACGATTAAACGGTTAATTATCGTATTTTCATTATAAACCATCATACTTTACAGGCAATGTTACTAAAATAGGACACACTTTTTGAATGAATTCCGAGAATCGTTCAATAGCGTCTACGGAGCGAGCTACAGAGATATTGAGCCTACAGAACTCAGGGCAGGTCGAGTGAAAGGACTCGGATGCCTCAAACAGGGGGCATCTGTCTGGTGACATACGGTGAGGTGAGGTGAAATTGGGTATAACGTCGCGTCCAAGATTATTGCACTTATATAGCGACATGCATGCACGTGTGCGTGTGTGTGTGTGTGTGTGTGTGTGTCTGCTTGTACTAGTCCCGACTGATGCCTGTTTATAGCGCTAGCCCACTGAGATACTATGCCGCAGTTTAACATGAATAACCCACTCATACACAGTATACTGACTCGGAGCCGACTAGTCCTGTTTTAGCCCCTCAATGCCGAGCGACAGACAGGGTAACAACAAGTACCATCTTTTAACGTCTTTTGGTATGACGCGGCCGGGGATCGAACCCGGGACCTTCCGCTTCAACGGGCGGACGCTCTACCACTAGATCACGGAGGCGGTCTGGGCGACATACGGGTCCACACTCCAAATGAAAGCAATGTAGGTCTAAGCGAACGTAATTTGGCAAAGTGATGGAACAGTTATGTCTGCACCTTCGGTCGACAATGAGACATAGTGAACTAAGTGAAGAGTAGGGGGACTACCCTGAACCAGATCACCAGGAGATGAGGTCTTGGTGCATTCAGAGATCGATAACCTTGACTACCTGTACATGCAATCGATTGGCAACCATGACATTTCATGATCAACACTCTTTCAAACAAATTGAAAATTGATAGTAAACAGCTGTTCGATTAGGCTGAGGTTGACTTGTGCTGTGTCACGTGGCTTCCACTCACTCGTAAACAACGTACAAACAGACATCTGTTTAATACGCAGTAATCATAGTTTATCAACAGTTGTAGGTAGATAGTTAGATAGATAGATAGAGTAGGAAGGAGTAGCGGAACTCCCAGTTAAGATTGTACCAAGGAGTTGCAGACGTCCCAGTAGAGATCGGAACAAGGAGTTGCGGACGTCCCAGTAGAGATCGGAACAGGGAGTTGCGGACGTCCAAGTAGAGATCAGAACAAGGAGTTGCGGACGTCCCAGTAGAGATCGGAACAGGGAGTTGCGGACGTCCCAGTAGAGATCGGAACAGGGAGTTGCGGACGTCCCAGTAGAGATCAGAACAAGGAGTTGCAGACGTCCCAGTAGAGATCGGAACAGGGAGTTGCGGACGTCCCAGTAGAGATCGGAACAGGGAGTTGCGGACGTCCAAGTAGAGATCGGAACAGGGAGTTGCGGACGTCCCAGTAGAGATCGGAACAAGGAGTTGCGGACGTCCCAGTAGAGATCGGGACAGAGATTTGCGGACGTCCCAGTAGAGATCGGAACAAGGAGTTGCGGACGTCCCAGTCGAGATCAGAACAAGGAGTTGCGGACGTCCCAGTCGAGATCAGAACAAGGAGTTGCAGACGTCCCAGTAGAGAATGGAACAATGAGTTGCGGACGTCCCAGTCGAGATCAGAACAAGGAGTTGCGGACGTCCCAGTCGAGATCAGAACAAGGAGTTGCAGACGTCCCAGTAGAGATCAGAACAAGGAGTTGCGGACGTTCCAGTAGAGATCAGAACAAGGAGTTGCGGACGTCCCAGTAGAGATCAGAACAAGGAGTTGCGGACGTCCCAGTAGAGATCAGAACAAGGAGTTGCAGACGTCCCAGTAGAGATCAGAACAAGGAGTTGCAGACGTTCCAGTAGAGAATGGAACAAGGAGTTGCGGACGTCCCAGTAGAGAATGGAACAAGGAGTTGCGGACGTCCCAGTCGAGATCAGAACAAGGAGTTGCAGACGTCCCAGTAGAGATCGGACCAAGGAGTTGCAGACGTCCCAGTAGAGAATGGAACAAGGAGTTGCGGACGTCCCAGTCGAGATCAGAACAAGGAGTTGCAGACGTCCCAGTAGAGATCAGAACAAGGAGTTGCGGACGTTCCAGTAGAGATCAGAACAAGGAGTTGCGGACGTCCCAGTAGAGATCAGAACAAGGAGTTGCGGACGTCCCAGTAGAGATCAGAACAAGGAGTTGCAGACGTCCTGGTAGAGATCAGAACAAGGAGTTGCAGACGTCCCAGTAGAGAATGGAACAAGGAGTTGCGGAGGTCCCAGTAGAGAATGGAACAAGGAGTTGCGGACGTCCCAGTCGA